GACGGATTTAAGTCTTTTGACATGATTCCAAAGTGAAACAATATAACGGGTAAAATCAATTCGGGATTTCTATTGAAATATCCTTCTTTAAAGAAAACGTTAGAAATTGCATCTGTTAGATATGGTATATTTGTATTGAGATTTTCTAGACAATTGAAAAATGCTCACTGGACCCAACTTGCTTCTTCATGGACCCAAGTAGAACTCATCAAGTACTACAAAATTCACCCTCCACTTTTATTTTTTCGGCGCATAGTTAAGGAACAAATCGCTAATTACTTTTCACGCTATACAAGCAATATATATACAACTGAGAAAAATCAAATAATTTGTGCCACGATTCGCTGTCTCACTGAACCCAACTTTTTGGTCCTGCTGAATTTTGTAGAGCTTGATCAGTCCAACTTCGGTCGATGAAGAAGAAAGTTGGGTCGAGCGAGATAGCGATGGTATATATATTGCTTGTATAGCGTGGAAAGTAATTAGCGATTTTTTCATTAACTATTCGTTGAAGAGATAAAAGTGCAGAGTGAATTTTGTAAAGCTTGATAAGTTCTACTTGGTGCCATGAAGAAGAAAGTTGGGTTCGTCGATGGGTGAACCGCGATAGAAAAAGTTGGTTTCAGTGAAATAGCGAATCGTGGCACAAATTATTTGATTTTTCTCACTTGTATACATTGCTTGTATAGCGTGGAAAGTAATTAGCGATTTGCTCATTAACTATGCGTCAAACAGGTAAAAGTGCAGGGTGAGTTTTGTAGTGCTTGATGAGTTCTACTTGGATCCATGAAGAAGAAAGTTGGTATGAGTGAGATAGCGAATCGTGACACAAATTATTTCATTTTTGTCACTTGTATATGTATCGCTTGTATATTGTGAAAAGTAATTAGCGACTTTTTCATTAACTATGCGTCAAAAAGGTAAAAGTGCAGGGTGAATTTTGTAGAGGTTGATGAGTTCTACTTGGGTCCATGAAGAAGAAAGTTGGGTTCGTCGATGAGTGAACCGCGAAAGAAAATTCCGAAAGATTTTGAAAATGAGTGGGTTTTCAGGTTAGCAGTCGGGTTATTTTCGTTTCTTGACTAGTTTGCTGTAATGAATTTTAGAGCCCAATGTGTGGGGTTTGTAGAGCTCGTCGAGGTCTGCTTGGATCCATTGAGCGTGCGGTTGGATCCAGTTATGGTGCGGATCCATTCAGGAAACATTCGTATCCTGACCTAAGATATCCTACGTAAATACCGCCGGTATTACCGATCTGTAACCGACTAGTACCGCGGTAATTTGCCGGTTAAGCGTGAAGTATACCCTTCGGTAGCCGACGGTATTTCATGGGTGTTGAAGACATGGGTTAGCAGTATTTTCTCCATATCTTTTGATTTTTAAAGTTTATAAAACGATGTTCAATAGGTGTTTTCTAAAGAATCACATAGGGCACCTTTTAAAGGAAAATTAAGTTCTAAAATAAGAGACGAAAACGTTATAATCAAAACACTGTGAGGCTCTTTCATGAGTCCTATCGTTTTATCTAATAACAGTGGGAGTTGAGGTGGCGACATCTGTGAATTATAATGTTTATTGTCAATCAGCATATCGTACATAATTCAAATATCTCAGTTTATACCTTTTCATCGAGCTTTACTGATCGGATCTTCGACATGAATGAAATGTCTCCTAGGAAATTAAATATGAAAATGATTGGTAAGTTTAGTCTCGACACATGTTTCTTTCCAACCATGTAGTTGATTTCATGCATCGATCTGTAGGAAGTAAAGAAAAATAACGCAGGTAGAAAAAGGACGAATTTCTTGTGTTCTTTATTTACCTTAGACAACACAGCAGTGTGTGCTTTATTATATTTCTGAAGAAAAAACTGTAGACAAACAAGGAGACGCCATGAGTTTAGAATTGTTACCAAATGAAATTTTACTTGATATATTTGAATATTTCGATGGTATTGATCTTCTTCGAACATTTTATGGTCTTAACTCTCGCTTCAATCTCGTTCTTCACGGTCAATTTCCAAATTGTTCTTTCAAATTTAATTCTGTGTCAAAACATGATTTCGATAAAATATGTCAACATTATCTACCAACAATGGCAGACTATATTGTTACTCTTAATCTTTCTGACAATGAACAAACTCCAACACAAATTAAACTGTTTCTTTCATACATTCCATCATTCAATCGATTCACTCAGTTACGATCTCTTTCACTGTCGAATCTTCGTTCATATCAAACACTAATGAAAATCGTCGAAGGATGTCATCATCTTTGTAATCTTACTCATTTGGAACTTTTATATTGTTATCTTCAAGATAAACAAATTGATTTTCAATTAATTGTTAATCATATTTGGAGTTTACCAAAACTTATTCATTGTACGATCGGCATTGCGATCAAAGGACAATGCTTATTTCGTACACCAACAATAATCTCTTCATCTCTCGAATATGTATCTATAGAAAGAATTCAAATTAAACTGGATCAAATAAATCAATTGTTTGAATATACACCTAGTCTTAAATGTCTTTCAATATCTGTGCCATCCTTTATTGATAATGATTATATTCCCATTTCTATTCCAACTTTGATGGATTTGAGTATTAGTTCTTGTTTTACATGTGATGCATCGAATATGGCTATTTTATTACAAAATACACCTAATCTTCGTCGTTTAAGTATTGACCTATGTTCCGAACTCATTGATGGTAATCAATGGGAAGAACTTATTCGTAATTGTTTACCCAAACTTGAAGTCTTTCAGTTTAAAATGAAAGTTACATTACCTATGGGACAAAATCTACAAAATCGAGTTGAAGAATTAATTAATTCATTTCGAAGTCCATTCTGGATTGATGAGCATCAATGGTTTATCCGATTTCTTACATCGAATAGAACAATGTATCTCTACACTTTATCAAATAAATATGAAGAAAACCTTCCCGTCTTATTTAAATCGACAGATCCTCATGATGATCAACAAGATTTTTATAATAACATAACTAAAATAATTTCTCCAACATTTTTTGATCAACCAATTCCAATTCCATCATACATTCGCTTGACTCAAATTAATGATCTTTCTATAAATCTTCCTATTAATGATCAATTTTGGTCCCTTGTTCCAACCTTGAATCGATTAAAGACACTTAAAATATCATTTCATACAAATGCTTTTCAATCTCAAGTGCAAGCATTACTTAATCGAGCACCTCATCTGGAAAAATTAAATATTCATCAGTATGAATCAATATCTTTGCAAATATCAGTATTCAAATATATAAATGTATCTGTTCGTGAACTCGATTTACGAGGTATTAATCATTATTTTAATGAAGAAGAATGTATTAGATTGAGTCGTTCACCGTTAGGTATTCAATGTGAAAAGTTATCTATCTTGGCTTATAATCGTAAAAGTATTATTTCTCTTATCGAAAATATGCACAAACTTCGAGCATTAAATGTTCGATGTAAAGATGAAAAATATATTGAACTATCAACATCAATAGAAGACAATAGTGTTGAATATTATGATGATAATGAACAAAATGAAGATGATTGTATACAATGGTTAAAAAGTCATTTACCACCAATATGTATCGTCATCAGAGATCCAAAACTTACATGTAATATTTTAATATGGATCTAATTAGACCACAAGAACAGACATTATTTCGAGCAATTTTTATCCAAGAATAACCATATTTTTGATATCAAATAAAAATCAGTACGATTTACTTTATACACCCTAAAGAGAAAAACTTTATTACCGAATTTAAATTCAGGTTTTTCAAAATTTACTGAACCGAAACGAAAAAATCTTTTTTTATATTTCATTAGTTCTACTCCGATACATTCCCGAACATTCTAGAGATCGTCTCGGGTCAGGTCACTCAAAAAGTGTCCCATAACGATCTCTGTTACGCACTACAGTACCAAAGATCTAAAGTGTTTCAATAACCGTGCGGAGGAAGCTGGGGAAAGCTGCGGCGTGACGAGTGAGATGGGATGATAGTCAAGTCCTTGAAAAAGTGAAATTGTCGAACAAGAAGAAACCATGTCCAGGATGAGGTAAACACATAGGCGACAGAACGTTGTGAATCTAGAGTAAGCTCAACATCTTTTATAAGATCTTCACCAAGAATTTCAAAATAGGGACAGGGCAAATTTTTTATGCTATACAATTTAAATAAAACACAGTTAATACTTCTTAATTCGAACTCACATTTTGTAGTGTATAATACGAATGCAGATCAGAAAAGAAGCCGCAACTCATGTCAAAACACGTGCATGCAAAGAAGCATGGAAATCTTAGTCTTCAGTGAATATCGACCTTCGAATAGGGTGCATTAGATCGAAAAATTTTGAATCCAAATTCGGATGAAGCAAGCCCGAACCCCGCTCCGATCAACAGAAGAATTTCAGATGCATACTCGCATTCAGACGCAGTCGGGCTTCGGACAGACTTGACGAGCTTTATCTTGGACAGAGGAGTTTTTAATCTGCTTTATTGAAAACAGAATAATAGCGATACAGCAGTTGGTGCACTGCACAAATATGTCAATCCAATGAAATAAGAAGCAAATGTCTAAGCCTATCCTAGCCTATGAAGCCTGAATTCAGAGTCAGCTTTAGCCTAACTGTGGCTAAATCGTGATTATGCCACCTATGCGGCAAACATTATATTCGGCATTCGAAGAACGCTAATTCATTCAGCGTTACGCGCATAGGGAAAAACATACAGAAGTGCAGAATTAGGCTCTTTTACGCATTTTATTCTACAGAAGTATCATAAACTGTATTGAGTGCTATATATAACCTGCACTGTTCTATCCATATACTGGCAGTTAAATAAAAAAAACATACTGGACTATCGAAAACTTAGTCTTTTTCTTGGAAAAAACAGTTTATTCCACATATAAATATTGAGAAAGAAAGAAGAAATGTTGTTCTTCTCTCTCGAAAAAAAGCAGTCAGTCATTTTGATTTTTTTTCGTCGAACACATGCCGTGCCTTTACGCAAAGTAAATAAATACAGGTAACTGAAGTAATAGACAGTGTATGTTTTTTCATTATCAGAACTTTTTGTTCCTTCTCAGTATCTTTGATCGTAGAATCTGCATCTGTCTGTTATAACGAAGATTAGTTTTATGTTCAAAGATTCCGTGGGACAACGTTCCCTGACAAGAACTGAATTTCCGACCGGTAATTTTCGTGACGATTTGCTCAATGATCTAAGCCACTGACGAGCAGGGTTGCCAAAACGAGTGACTCACGGGGGACAGAACAAAGAATCAACATGACGATTTCTTTGTTCCGCCCCCATGAGTCACCAGTTCTGACGAGTCATACATCAATCGATGCAGAATTTGACGCTCTATGGAATGATGTATAGCTTGCACCGCTAAAGTCTAATCAAATGGCTCTTTGGCCCGTGAAAACTTTGGAAACAGTAGAAATGTGTAGCTTATGAATTGAGGCGAGTCATCATGAGGATTACGACCTGAAATGTAGCATCAATGATGGCTAGGTGATGGTCGGTGGTTTTTCGAAATCGGTAGACAAGCATTATCTATTTTTATCAGCATGAATTATATACCATTTGATAGAGCTCGCGATTTTGCATCGATTGGTGTGGTTTTCAAGGATGGCTTAAGCTTTCGGGCGAATCGTCATAAGTATTACTCAAAAACGTTTAGTTTTTGAGGAACAACTTTGACATGACCCAAGCAAAAACGACCCAATTTTTTGGGTTATTTATCTAGATCCAGGTCTACGTGCACCTAGATGTACGTGGAGCTGAATTCAGATAAATAACCCAAAAAACTGGATCGTTTTTGCTTGGGGAACTGTTATGGAGTATATGAGTGAAACACGGCTGTAATTCTTGATCGATTCGACTTAATTTTGTTGATTCTGAGCATGTGTACCCAGACCAAGGCGTTTGAGCTGATTTCGCCAGAAAAGCCTCGAAAATCGATGGAGCTCAAACGCACTATTCCGCGGTGGAGTGTCTTTGGGTTTTTCGGGTGAGAACAGCCATCCGGAATCATTCACTTGAGAACCGATCACTGGATAAAATGTTATGAACTAGACGTGACGCATAGTGTCGATGTTGCAGACTAGGCCTACGACCTGTTATCCCTCCTGTTTTGTTTGCATGGAATATCCGCTATTATTATATTAGTTTTTAGATATATATCATAAACTTAACGAATGGCTGATGATATTCAAAAAGTTAAAAAGGATATAGCTTTAAATCATGCAGTGATATTTATTGGTACAGGTGTATCTGTTTATACAACAAACGGTGAACAAGAAGTTTCTCATTGGAAAGGATTATTAAAACAAGGACTTCAACGATGTCGCCAAGCAGGATGGATAAGTGAGAAAGACTTTGAAGATTTCAATAAAAAGTTTGACAGTAATACAGCAGAAGTTGATGACTATCTAGCAGCTGCTGATCGAATTAAGTCTTGTTTTAAAAAGGAAACTGATGAGACGAAAGATGATATTTACAAAACATGGTTAATAGAAACAGTAGGAAAATTATTCCCAAAAAAACCGGAACTCATCAATACTATAGGAGAATTAGAATGTCCAATTCTAACAACTAATTATGATTCACTTCTTGAAGGTATACTTAATAAACAACCATTAACTTGGAACAGATATCGGACTGATGTTATTAGCAATTCGCTAGAGAATCTGAAAAGTTACATCCTACATGTCCATGGTTATTATGAAAATCCAGATAGTATAATTTTTAGTAGTGACGATTATAATCGAATTCGTGAAAATAAATTTACACAATCAAAATTCAAAGCACTTATAGAATCAAAAACTTTGTTATTCATTGGATATGGCGCTGGAATGTCTAATCCAAATTTTTCGAATTTATTGAAATGGATATTTCGTATAACAGGTGACAAACCACTTTCAATTTATAAACTTGTTAAATCAAATAAAAATAAAACTTTTAATCAATTATCAAATGTTTTATTTCTGGAGAATATCAAAGAAATTCAATATGGTAATACTTCAGAAGATTTAGTAT